ATATAGGGTAAAATCGGTATTGGATATCAAAGTAGGGGTACAAACAAAATTGTCCCTTTCTCTTTTCTCCCTCAGTCAAATGCAACCTATATATGTCTTGTAAGGGCTACTTTGAAACGAAGATTGTGGGATGAATAGGAAAAACATAGAATTCTGACAAAAAATCAAGCACAAAACAAATAATTATAAAACACATAAAAATATATGAAATCATCATTTGATTGGACCGTACGAAAAATGCAAGAATTTGGATGATATAGATAAACTCATAAGAGTCTTTGCATGATATTGGACCTCACGTTAAAAATACTCCAAAACTTATATGAATTTGGGCATTCCTTAGAAATTTGATAAGATTCAATAGTATTCAATAATCCTTTGGTTCAAATAATCATATAGAAAAAAATATTGTTTCTATACAGAATAAAAGTTCCTATATTTTTCTATATTTTTCTTTCAAATAAAAGGGCCCTAATTAGTTACTCCACTAAAGTTGAATGAGCTGGGTTCACTTTACCATGCGTGGCAAAGCCACGCGGTTTTTCTAGTATAGTACTTATTTTGATGCGTCGTAGCCTTGCCAACGAATACACACGATAGGTCCCATTATTTTCTAATAACACGTGGATTCTACTTTAGTTTTCATTAGTATATTTTTTAAACTACTAAACAGTATGCTTTTATGAAAAATTTCTATAGAGAAGATGCTCTAAAGTATCAAATAAATTAGTTTTTTAAGTTTATAATAATTAAGAGTTAATTAATTATGTGATAATTATAATACAATTAATTATGTGATAATTATAATACCTTTCTCATTTTCATCTTGTACTTACTCGTGAATCCGCGATCCCAAAGCGGGGCACGGCAGCCATATCTATTAGGTCACTTCCAATGAGAGTTCCGGTGCGACGTTAGCAATTTGAATAATGTGCTAAGGATTAATGAAGTGAGAGATAAAATAAATTTCATCTGAATGAAATTACGACTATATTGTTTCCAATATAACTTGTCTTTTTTTAATACACAAAAGAATTGTGCATATTTGTACTAAGATTTTGAAAGACGTAAAATGTTTACAAAATTATATTCCTGAGAGTGCCCACACAACCACCACACCCTGAGGAAACACAACCACGGCCAAGAACCTCAAAAAACGGTGCATCCAATAAGATTCCAACACTAAAAACACCTCCAACGCCCAGCCCAAAAAGATATGTTTTTCACCTAGAGGATTCTATTAAAGAGGGGAAAGGAGGCACCTCGACAACACTCTCAAGAGTGTTGCGGCGCTCAAATGCATCATCATTGCTGGTCCAAAGTTGCACTGGCTTTTGTCTGGAACCTGTTTGCACCTCTCTTATAGCTTGTCTATTGCATGTATTGTCCATAAAGACAACAAAATTGAAATAGTTCATTATGGAAGATATTTTGATCATCAATTAAACACATTCGCCCTGTTTAGAGAACTTAGTATTTTTTAGCACAAGGAAATAGTCCTTTAATAAAATATCCCTAAGTTGTTTAGATCCAAGAGTATTTTGAGAGCTATTTGGCCTTTAATACATTTTCCCATGGAGAGAGGGGGAGAGAAAAAACACTTTTCAGTGAGCCCCACCCGAAATAGCTCTCATTAATACTCTTGATGGGGATAGTTTTTTTTAAATAGCCGTGAAATAGCTTAACTGTTTAAAACATGTGAGCTTTTTCAGGACTATTTAAGAAAGAATAAAAAATAACCCATAAATCCGAACAGAATCATTGTTGCTCATATATGATGCCTTGGGAATGGACCTTATCCAAATTGGAAGCACGCAAGCACCTGGCTGGCTCCTGGCTGTGGTTGGCTGGGTCGATGTGGACCAACGTTGTTCGCGTCGAACCGTGCGCTGTTCCAACCGCTGCGCATACGTGGCGGCCCGAGTTCCTAGGTGGGTCCGCGTGGCGCGGCGTTTGTTGGTGACGTGCGCGCTCGCGTGTCCGACCGTGGAGCGGCTGGCAGCGCGTGAGGAAGATGCAGTATATGTGAAGTTGTGAACAGGTGTGAGCGCCTGCTAATTTCACCGATGAGCCTTTTGACCGCGGTCAAACACCGTCGTGGTATTGTGATGATACTAGTACTATACGTGTGGTAATGTGGTCGGCATCCTGTTAATTTTGAAGTGGTCGGTACTAGGTCGGTAATATGGTCGGCTAACGCATACACTAAGTATATACTACCTCCGTTTGTTTAATAAATAACGCCGTTAACTTTTTCTTACATAGTCATATATTTGACCATTCGTTTTATTCAAAATATTTATGTAAATATATTTTCTTTTATCGTGGTTTGATTTATCACTAAATGAACTTTAAGCATGACTAATATTTTTAAGATTTGTGCAAAATTTTTGAATAAGACGAACGGTCAAAGGTTGTAACAAAAGTTAACGGCGCCATGTATTAGAAAATGGAGGGAGTAATTTAGTTTGTACAAGTATATTTGCTTGGAAGTCATTTCAATGGAAAGACTAATCCAACATGTAAGTAGCTTTTTCCTTGGAACGAATATATACAATTAAGCAACTTGTAACTGCAGATTAGTAGTATTTTTTTTATAGTGGTAGCAGTAATAAAGATTTATGAAGTCTCTAAAGATACTCATGGTAGCGAGCACCATCCGTACATGTGCGGACCGTGGACAAGTAATGCACCATCCGTACAACTGACATGGTACTCCCTACGTAAAAAAAAAAGGAGATAATGAATTTGGATAAAGAGTAGACCAGATTCGTTATGACCCCTTATAAGTTGATTTTTTTTTGACGGGGGAGTACACCAGAAGTAGCTTCACGGTAGGCTGCGTTCGTTCACGTAGGCTGGAAACTCATTCCCTCCGCACGGAAAACGGAGCAGTCTATTAGCGTGTGATTAATTAAGTATTAGCTAAATTTTTTTCATGGATCAATATGATCTTTTAAAACGACTTTGATATAGAAAATTTTGACAAAAAACACACTGTTTAGCAGTTTAAAAAGTGTGCGCAAGAAACACAAGGGAGATGGGTTAGGAACCCTGTGCAAAGAACACGACCTAAGGGCCCCTTTGATTTGTAGGAAAAGTGTAGGAAATTTGAAGGATTTCAATCCTATGAAAAAAATTCCTATGAAAGCCTTTAAATTCCTATGAAAAACAAAGGATTGAATCCTATACTATCCTTTAAAATTCCTATGGAATGGCTAACCCTATAGAGATTTTGGAGGAAAGTTAGCAAGAGGTCCAACCTCTTGAAAAAATTCCTTTGAGTCTATCTCTCTCATCCGATTCCTGCGGTTTTCCTGTGGTCCAATCAAACGGTCATTCCTGTGTTTTTCCTGTATTTTCCAATCCTCTGTTTTACACCTGTATTCCTGTCAGAATCCTACGTTTTTCCTATTCCTCCATTTTTTCCATTCCTGCGATTCAAAGGGGCACTAAGTAGTACTTCTTCCGTTCTAGAAAAAAAAATCAACTTCTAGAGTTTGAATTTTATCTTACAAAAAACCAGTTTCTACCATCCTACTCCTCAGCACGTAAAACGAGATGTTTTATCCCTTCAATACCCTTTACCTACCTACCAACTTCTATTTTAATAATTCTCCACCTATACTAAGGGTCTGTTTGGATCTTCCAAAATGGTAAAAGTTTTGTCATTTTGAAGCACTTTTTGCCATTTTAGATCTAAACACTAGTAGCAAAAGTTGGCAATTTGGCATTTGGCATTTGCTAGTCCATGGTAGCAAATTTTGCCAAAAAGTGCTCCGGGACCACACCCTCTCTCTTTAGTGCTAAAATAGCAAAATTTTAAGATGCATATAAACACCAATTAGTACTTTTGCAATGTTAAATCTTTTGCTACCAAAACTTTTGTTATTTGCCATTTGCCATTTCAAATGGATCTGAACATGCCCTAATTCCACCTTAGGATGCTAGGAATGGATATTTTTGAGACGGAGGGAGTATGTTCAAATTTATTATACGAAGAAATATCGTCACATTTTGGGTTGATTTTTCATGTAAAGAAAGGAGTAGTTCTTGCTTTGGCCTCGTCAACAAATTTCACAGGTCCTCTCCGTCTGCTGAGAACAAGCTATTAGAGCAGGTACAATAGCAGGCTATAAGCCAGCTGCAAACATATTTTAAGAAGATAAATCAGGAGAGAAAAGAGCAGCGGGCTATAGATTTGTAGCCAGCTATAGCACGGACCCCAAGACGCAGTGTGTCTATGACAGGTAGGACTAGGTATTAATAGTGTAGTACGTAACTATTGTATGAATGAGTTATTAGATTGGCCATAGATGAATTGGAGCTAGTAGTTGGCTATACTATTGAACTTGCTCTTAGCAGATCAGATCAGACTGAGCAAAAGCAGATTAGGGGGTGTTTAGATGGGGCTAAAATTTTTTAGCCCATGTCACATCGGATGTTTGGACGCTAATTTAGAGTATTAAACATGGACTAATAAAAAAACTAATTTCATAAATAAGAGCTAATCCGCGAGATAAATTTTTTAAGCCTAATTAATCCATAATTATCAAAAGTTTACGGTAGCATCACATTGTCAAAATCATGGCGTAATTAGACTCAAAAGATTCGTCTCGCGAATTAGTCCAAGCTTATAGAATGGATTTTGTAATTAGTGTATATTTAATACTCCAAATTAGTGTCTAAATATCCGATATGACAGGGATTTAGAATAAGTCGCTGGAAATCATACAGCCCTGTCCCAATGTCACTGCACACGTGTGCTGGCAAATGTCTGGTCAGTGTCAGACACCCACAGACCAACGCTCCCGCGTCTGTTCGGCCCGCCTAACCATGAGCATCAATTCAGCCCAAAAGTGCGCCTCGATTCGGCCCAAACGTTCGGCCCATATATGGGCCTGAATTCGGCCGTATGGGCCAAATGTCAGCCCATCCCCGAGTTCCCGACGAGACTCGTCATCCTCGACCTCGACTCCGCCGACCGCCGACTCCGAGTTCACTCTCACCGAGGCCGCCGCCGCCGCCGCCGAGCCATGGAACCCGGGGTGGGGGGGTGGGGGGGTGGCGCAGCTGGTACGAGAGGGAGAGGTGGACGACGGTGGCGGCCGGCCTTGATCCGGCCGGTGGCAGCGGGAAAGGGGGGAGCCGGGGAGGTGGCGGCGTGCTAGATATGGAAACACTTCGGAGATGGCGATGGCCGTCGAGGCGCGCGGATTCAGGGTGGGGGTGGTCGAGCTCACCGGCGGCAAGGGACTCGCCGGGTGGTCGAGGTCTCCGATCATCCGACGCGGAGAGTTGCTTGGGTTTTCTGTTTCTCCATGGTTGGTAAATAATAGCAATTCCATCCTGGAATTCTCCTCCTCCCATTCCCGAGTTTCCGACGAGACGCTTTGGCAATGGCGGTGGCGCCAGATCACGCGCCCGTATTCGTGGCGCTGCCGCCGCGGATTCCGCGGGATGGACATGGGGAGGAATTTCCCGGGCTTGGACTTGCCTGTCCTTCTCTTTTCCTCCCTTGTTCTTGGGGTGGGGTTGGCGGATTGGGGAATCGGCTTCGAGCTGATTGGTTTTGACTGCGCCATCCGATTTCTTCGCTTTTGTGGAGGGGGGCAGCACGGCTGTGCATTTCGTTCTCTTGTCGTGGATGCCCCCGGAATTTATCCCCAATTCTCGCTATACTTGCTCGTCTACATCGGTGTGTTTCTTGGAGCATTTCAAGCACTTCTCGTCTTCATCGATGCATTTCTTGGAGCATTTCAAGTGTCCAGCGTCTAAATCGCTCAGGCGAATTTGGAGGAGCCTTTAGGCGCATTCCGCTCAAAATCAAGTGGAATTGTTGCATGAATCTTCAGATTGTTTTGGCTGGATTGCCAGGTTTCTTCGATCATTTTTCTCTACGGGGCTGAGGAATTTTTCGCCCCATGCCCGGAAAGCTCCAAAGGGGATGTTTGCCACAATTTTCAGAGTATCTGTGTTGAGATGATCGGTGTGGTGTAGAAGGAAGCACGCAAATGATGAGGCATTGTAGGAGAGAATGGCTCCTCGCCCTGTGCCTCATCTCTGTGCAGCTCCTCATTCCAACAGGCTGCGAGGGGGTTCTCGTCGCGGCAAGCAACATGTCGCCACCTGCTTTGACACCACTCCTCATCAATCAAGTAGACCAATTGGTAAGCACATTTCCATATATTTTGATGCATACGTAAGCTTCAATTTGTGTGAAAATACCATACAAGAGATGGCAGTAGCAGCTTTTGTAAGGAGATGTAGGCATAGTCGTGTTTGCATTCAGTTTCGAACCAAGAATTAGGACCAAGTCCTTTCCAAGTGGATGTGGGTTGCAAGACATTAATCGGGACTCGGGAGTATGCTCTCAGGAGCACAGAAGCCCATGGCATTCCCTCCTATACTTATTACGGTGTGTGTCGCTAGGCATTAAACGGGAATTTGCTCTCAAGAGCACAGAAACACATGGCATTCACCTCCTAACGGCACTGATGTTTTTGGGTAATGCAGGACTCAGGGAATCAGGATTGATTCATGAATAGGTCCACATTTACTTATTTGTTGTGGGACATGCAGAGTATTCTTGTACTCTTGTAGTCTCGTGTTTCCCAAATTGCATGAAAGACAGACGAATAAGGTTGCTGAAGTCTGTAGGTGATTCCCAAAGGCAACCATGATTTTATTTGTGTTGTGTCTTATAGTTTTTTTTTTTTTTTTTTTTGGCTTTGGATGACAGATCACATAAGGTTAACCTTTCTGTGAACAGAGTTTTGAATCATTTTCTTCTTGTGTTTTATGGCTGAGGTAGTCTGTTTGTTTTTTTAGAAAATGGCAGCCTCTACATCCAAACCAGTCTGATAGGTGTGCACCATTGCATTGATTGTGATGGTGTTGTGATTTAAACACTGGCTTAACAGAATCAAACTGTTAAATTTGGCTTGCCTCCTTCTCTCCCCTCCCCCTCCTGGCCTCCTCTCTCCTTTAACAGCAGGTGCTAGATTCCTCCTTGTTATGACATGACAAATGAAGACTCGGAGAGAGGAATGTGACTAGTAGTGAATATAATTATTTTCGATCCAACTAGTAGAACCTAACATTTTGTGGCATCAATGGCTGTTTAATTCCTAACTGGTGAATGTTGCCTTTTGTTGGATATGACTACAAATGTTGGGTATATCCTTTTTTTTAAAAGAAAAAACATTCGTACTGATTAGAGTGACTGTTAATTACATTTCATACAGGTAGAACATGCATGGGTCAAGTGTGGATTGGACAAGAGAACTCTTGAAGATGTTAGACGCCACTTCAACTACAACCATGTATTGGCAATTCTCCGTAGAATGTCTGGGCAAGACATTAAGGACACCTCTCCTGACATTGATGGAGGGACCAGTGTATTATCACTAGAAAGGAGGGACGCTATACTGAACTGTTTAAGCAAGCAGAATTTCATGAGTATCGCTGGACAGGATGGTTTAAAAATCTTGTCCGCTGATTATATCAAAGCACTTATTGCCTCACTTAGAACAGACCTTGCTCAGGAATCTTCAACTACAAAGTCAATACCTGAACAAGCAGGAAAACCTGTCCCAGGGAAAACTTCTACACCAAAACCTGTAAACAAACCAACCGACAGTGTATCATCTCCACCAGATCGTTCATATAAATCAGCTCCTACAGAAAAGGAAAACCCTCCTACTAAATCAGTAGCGGAAAAGAAAAAGGACAGCAGTGGCATGCCAAATGCTTTCATTGGTTTGTCCATTGCTGGCATAGCTCTTATGGCTCATCTCTGTTTGTGCTGCTTCATGTGCCATGGGACTTCCTCATCTGACTTGAGGGATGATAAACCACTTCTGACTCTAAATCCGAGCAACTTGTCCGGTATAAAATCGCCCACTCTGCTGCAAGATAATGTAATAATTTCATCTAGTGGTGGTATTTACTCTCTCTTTTGCAGCTGCTTCTAAATCGTCCCAAGGAAATCCAATTGATGTCAATAAGCTTGGGGTAGTGTCGTTGAAATCAGAGGCTGGTCAAAATGGAGATGTGAAACTAATTTCGAAGGAAGGCACAAACAATGTGAATGTGGTGCACCCAGTGAGTTCTGTGTCAGAATCAACATTGATGCCACCTCCGGAAGGCGCAAACAACGTGAATATGGTGCACCCGGAAGGCGCAAACAACATGAATGTGGTGCACCCGGAAGGCGCAAACAACGTGAATATGGTGCACCCGGAAGGCGCAAACAACGTGAATGTGAATATGGTGCACCCAGTGGGTTCTCTGTCAGAATCAACACCGATGCAGCCTCCTGTGATGCCACCTCCAATTCCGAAGCTTCTTTCTCCACCAGCACCCCAAGCTCCCATGCCACCATTAAAGGCTTCTCCTGTTCCTCCCCCAGAACCTTCACCACCTCCTGCTCCAAAAGCTGCACCTCCACCGCCACCACCAAAATCTACTGGCCCTGGCCCACCTCGCCCGCCACCGCCAGCCATGCCTGGTTCTTCGAAAACACGCCCACCGCCACCTCTTAAGCCAGGCGCTAAGGTGGGTGCTGTTGAAAATTCTAATGAAGCTAAAACAAAGCTCAAACCATTCTTTTGGGATAAAGTAACTGCCAATCCTGCACGATCGATGGTGTGGGACCACCTTAAATCAGGATCATTCCAGTAAGTCTTCAGATTAAATTGAAGCTGTGCCTGAACTTACTATTGCAAGAACACACTAGTTTAAAGTATCTGAACTGTTTCACAGGTTTAATGAGCAGTTGATGGAAAACCTTTTTGGTTATAATTCAACTGACAAGAGCAGTGACACCAAGAAAGATTTATCATCGAAAGATGCCACTCAACTCATAAGGATACTTGACCCCAAAAAGGCGCAGAACCTAGCTATATCATTGAGGGCGCTTGGTGTTTCACCTCAGGAAGTATGTAGTGCAGTTAAGGAAGGTAAAGTTCATCCTGTATGGAACTCGTCTTTTTTATTCTTAGCACACACTCACAGTGCTTTCTAGCTTCATATTTATCATACATACAGTATCTTTGTAAAAGTTGGAGAACTCAGCTATGATGGAATGCTGATGCTCTGAATTATTATCAGACTTCTAGTTTACTTTGCTTGCAATAATGTATATGGCATACATTGTAGATATGTGCCTATTTCAATTTAGTTTTCAAAGTGACGAGATGAGGGTTGCTCTCTTCTGAGCTAAGGGTGACAAGATTAACTTTTTTTCACCAAAGCGAATTGTGCAAAAGATATGATAAGTGAAATGATTCATTTCATCTACTTCAACCGCTACTATTGAGAAATGATTTACAGGATTATACTGCAAATAGATGCATGTTACTAGCCATTAGAAGTTAGATTGGTTTCTGGTATACACAAATAGTGCCTCCAACCATTTTGTTTCAAGAATTTGATGTTGGATTTCACCTTAACCATTTTTCTTGCCAATTTGTAGGAAGTGAACTTCCATCTGATTTGATACAGACCTTAATAAGATGGTCCCCAAGTAATGATGAGGAGCTCAGGCTTCGATTATACAGTGGGGAACTCTTTCAACTTGGTCCTGCAGAGCAATTCTTAAGAGTAATCATAGATATTCCTTATATTTTCCAGCGCTTAGATGCATTGCTTTTCATGGCCAATTTACCAGAAGAAGCTTCAAATGTGAAGCAATCCTTTGCCACTTTGGAGGTAATGAAAGATTCATTGTGAACTCTCAACTTCTAGATTATCTCACATTGTTGTGCCAGTTTTGTTCAGTTGGCGATGTCTAGTATTCTATTGATCTAACATTTCCATGAAGGGTTATATCCAAGTAGTTAGTTCTGTTACAATAAATGCACTTTTACTGCACAGTTTATGCCTAGCGATCGGATTCTTAAAATATGAGCCTCTGATCAGTTATGCTTTTAATGAATTTTGTTCCATATTGATTACTATTCTTATCTCTGTTGGCATTTCAATCCCAATCAGGTGGCTTGCCAGGAGCTTAGAAACAGCCGTCTTTTTATGAAGTTACTAGAAGCTGTCCTCAAAACCGGAAATCGGATGAATGTTGGCACTTTCCGTGGTGGAGCTCAGGCTTTTAGACTCGACACGCTCCTCAAGTTGTCTGATGTCAAAGGAACTGACGGAAAGACAACACTATTGCATTTTGTTGTTCAGGAAATCATTCGTTCCGAAGGTGTCCGTGCTGAACGGGCTGCAAAGGAGCAGAACAGTGGCGTTTCCAGTGTGAAGACTGATGATCTAGGTGACAAAAGTGAGCAAACTGAAGACGGTTACAAACAACTGGGGCTGAAAGTTATCTCCAGCTTAGGAGATGAACTTCAAGATGTTAGAAAGGCAGCTATCCTAGACGCGGATCAATTGACTATGTCGGTAGCAAGTCTTGGCCACAAGCTCATGAAAACCAATGAATTCTTGAACATGGACATGAAAAGTTTGGACGAAGACAGTGGGTTTCACCGCAAGCTTACGCACTTCGTACAGCAGTCTCAGACTGATATTACTTTCTTGCTGGAGGAAGAGAAGAAAATGCGGTTATTGGTTAAAGACACCGTCGACTATTTCCATGGAAGTGCAGGAAAGGATGAGGGCCTCCGGTTATTTGTGATAGTAAGAGATTTCCTTGCAATGCTGGACAAGGTGTGCAAGGAGGTGAAGGAAGCATCAAAAGTTGCTCCAGTAAAAGCAAAAGCCAAACAGCCCTCCCAATCATTGCAGTCATTCCGTGATCCACGGGTTAATCTTTTTCCGGCGATTCAACACCTGAGGGCAGATAGCTCTAGCTCAAGTTCTGATGATGAAAGTTAGATCAACATACCTATGTTTTACCGTGCACACTCAGTGAGAAAAATTCATCAGGAAATGATAACGCCAAAACAGGTTAAAACTGAATCGATCTTCTATCGTTGGGTTGTTATCTGTTCCGACCCTGCATTCTTCACTTTTGAATTTCTGATTCTATCAAGCAAAAGAGTTGCACAAAACTGAGGCTACACATAATTGGAAGGGATGCTATGGAAAGTAAAATTTAGCAGGAAATGGAAGGAAACTGACCTCCTAGTTCTATGTTAGGGCAGGGATAACCGGCTGACTGATAGTCTGACACTTTTTTTTCTTTTACACATTTGTACAACCACAGAAAGGAAGATGTATAGACATTAGACAGAGATAGAAAAAGCACCACATGAACTGGCAAAACGGGCAAATGTAACCTTTAAACTGAAACATCATGTGTTCCTATCCTGCGTGAACTCTCCTGAAATGCTTGTTGCATGGAGAACAATTTTCAAAAGAAAAGGAAATATACTAAATGTATTCAATGGTGAACTGAATGAAACTAATTTGATGTCGTAGATATTGCTACATTTTTATATTAAAAAAGGTCAAGTTTGACTTTAGACAAAACTCAACAAAATTACTTATGAAACGGAGGAAGTACATAATTTCTTTTTTGAATCTATACCAAGTATGCATCATTTTGTTGGTCAGACAATAACCCAATTACTCTGACAAGATTTTATTTTTCTTCCATTCATCTCTCCTGCCGTTAAGCCGTTTCTCCTGCAGCTAGTTGGTCAGGCAATAGCCCAGCTAATGGTCAGGCAATAGCCCAGCTAAGCCGTTTCTTCACACGCCAATTTTCATCTTCCCGCCCTGGCACTGTTTCAAATCACAAAAATTTCGCCACTGCCCGCGCAAAGCTTTAATTTTGTAGAATCTCCTAAACCTGCACCAGATCCAAGAACAGCTATACACTTTGAACACGATGCAAAGCTTTAACTAAACATAACAAATTATTCAGGAACACCAGCCAAGTCACAACTTTCTATGCCAGGCTCCACATGCTCGAATAATGCATGTTACATTGGAACTCCCAAAATCAGATATACGAATTTCACGACCGAAGCCAGCATCAGGCTAAAAAACGAAACCACACATGAATTATGGCCAAGAACATTTGCCACGATTCAAAGACAACCCGCTCAAAATCAAATTGAAAATTTGAGCAACCGAAAGATTTTGAGAAAATCATCAAAGCAATGATACTTAAATAGATCATAGCGACGATTTAGAGAGAAGAACCCGTTCAAATCAAATCAAATCAAAAACTGGAGCAGCAGTTAACATTTCAAGAAAATCATCGAAAGGATGATACTTTTATATAGAACACAGGTAACGAATTACAGAGCAACTAATCCCCCTGTCCATCATACACAAGTGCACCTTCTTAGTTTTAGCATCGGTACAAGCACAATTAAGCATCTAATTCAGATCCTACTAGAGATCAACGCAACACCTAGGCATCCTAGAACACTACTACTACTACACAACATATCATCCATCCATCCACTGCATCCACATCCACCGCCGCCGCCATCGCCGGGAAGCGTCAGAATCTAGTTGTCATCGTCGCCGGCCGCCGCCTTGGCGCTGCCGCCGGCCTTCTTGGGGAGGAGCAGGTTGTGGATGTTGGGCATGACGCCTCCGCTGGCGATTGTGACCGTGCCGAGCAGGCGGGATAGCTCCTCGTCGTTGCGGACGGCGAGCTGGATGTGGCGGGGCACTATGCGGGTCTTCTTGTTGTCCCTCGCCGCGTTCCCGGCGAGCTCAAGAACCTACACAGTAGACACAGATTCCACCGATTAGCCCCAAATCCTCGCTAATTCGAGCGAACAAAGCGAACCAATCCACGCAAACACACCCGAATTCGAATCTTCCGACTAACCCCCAAATTTCCCCCATTGGAAACCCTAAAATTCTACCCCCAATTCTGTAACCGCGAACCCCCCGCCCAAATTTCACCGCGCAAAAACCAAAATCAAGAAATAGGAGGAACAGAATCGAACATACCTCAGCGGCGAGGTACTCGAGGACGGCGGCGAGGTAGACCGGGGCGCCGGCGCCGACCCTCTCGGCGTACTTGCCGGCCTTCAAGAACCGGGCGATCCTGCCCACGGGGAACTGGAGCCCGGCCTTGGAGCTCCGCGACATGGCCTTCTTGGCGGCGCCCGAGCCGATCGCCTTCCCTCTCCCGGCCATGGCTAAACCAAACCAAATCAACCAACCAAACCCTCCGGTAGTAGTACGGAATCCGCGGGCGAGGCGACGAAGCAACAGCAGCAGAAAAATCTGTGGAGAAAGTGCGGCGACGCAGCGAGCGAGCGAGCGAGCAATCAGTATACGGCTTGGTAGGTTGGAGGTGGGGGTGGGGAGCAGAGGGGATTATATAGGAGGGCGCGGCCAATGAGACGCGAGTACGCGGATCGGTGACGTGGCGTTGGAGGGCGTGGGGGCTGGGGATCCATCCTGGCCGTCGGATCGGGAGAGAGCCGTGCAGCGGTTGGGTTTTTGGTTTTTTTTTTTTTTTTTTTGCCGCGCACAGCGTTTCGGGCGCCAGCGGTGGGCCCCACCCGCAGGGCCGTATCGATCGTGGGCCCGGATTCTCGGCCTGTGGGCTGCGGGATCCATGGAAATGTAGGAGTATTCGCCCGGAAGTCAAGTTACGACTAGTTTGGAATTTTTCAAATATTTCGTCGAAAACTGTCGATTTTTTGCAAAGACTGCCTTCTTTTAGAATTTGATTTAGTAGTAAAATAATTTTATTTTTCACCCATCGCATAAATCTTAACGCAACTATAAATCACTTTATCTATTTCTAATATAATTATTTTTTACTTTGACAAACTCCAATACAATAATTATTTAAAGATAAATTTATTTTGAGAAGCTAAAAATGAATATGGAACGGAGGAAGTATAAAAACGAATCTAGAACCGAATGTAACATACTAATATTATAAATCTGAACATATGTATATTTAAATTTAAAATATTAAGATATGTCACATCCGATATTAATTCGATTTTTTATATGACGGGGGAGTAGTGCAGTGCTAGCAGACTTGCTCTGCTGTTCATACTCTTCGGCCGTATCACGACCGAATGGATTGGTAAAGATACCGTCAGTTCGTAGCCATCAATCAGTCCAGAACCCTAGATGCGCGAGTACTAGGTGACACGTGGAGCGGGGAGGGGGCAAGTGTCAAGAGCGTGGTAATCTGAGCCGTCGGTTCGGTTTACTCGACCATGACGCCAGCAGAGGTGGCTCGTCTCCAAGAACCACGAATTCGCACTAAACCTGCAGCTAGTGGTAAACAGTCAGGATCAAACGAGCGATTGCACTAGTAGTGTCAACCGGCGACTCTGATCCAGGAGTGAGGAGAGAGCACCCGGTGAAAATTACTCCCTCCGTCCCAAAATAAATATAGTTTTACACGGTTCATGTTCAACTTTTGACCGTTCGTTTTATTTGAAATTATTTTATGATTAGTATTTTTGTTGTTATTAGATGATAAAACATGAATAGTACTTTACGTGTGACTAATTTTTTTTAATTTTTTTATAAATTTTTCAAATAAGATAAATGGTCAAACGTCGGACACAGTTCCCCATGACTACACTTATTTTGGGACGGAGGTAGTACAAGGATTGCAGCGAATGGATACATTGTTGACAATGAACAATGAAAATCCATCTTCGGTCAGTTCAGTGAGAACCGCATAAATTTCGTTAGTTCATCGCCTGGAGGACTGACCAAATTAGTACAAAACAATTGCGTATCGGGAATTCGAGACCGAGCAGGCAAACACGATAAATTGTTTCTAATATTACACAAACAAAGCAGTAATCTTGCATTGCGAAAACAGTTTGTTCAGCGCAACGCAACGAGAATGCATCAACGACCAAAATGATGAGGCAGAGACAAATAGTGGCTCAAAGTTTCAGTTTGTTCCTCATTTCTTCAACCATTAAACAAACCAACCCAACATGATCATCAGTTCATCACAGGCTTACATCTTTAGATAAATACCCACAAAAATTTCGCCGTATTCACATCCTGATCAGGCCACCAAACCACCAACCAAGAACTTCTCTCTCTCTTTTTCCCCTTCCTACTGCTCAGCGCAACAACACAATGCAAATCCAGACGAACAGCTAGCAAAAGATCCTACTAATGCAGAAGGCGCCCGGGCGGCCTAGTTGTCGTCGTCGTCGACGGTGGATGCCTTGGATGACCCGGCCTTCTTGGGGAGGAGGTGCTGGTGGATGTTGGGCATCACGCCGCCGCTGGCGATGGTGGCGCCGCCGAGCAGCTTGGTCAACTCCTCGTCGTTGCGCACCGCGAGCTGGATGTGGCGCGGCACGATGCGGGTCTTCTTGTTGTCCCTCGCCGCGTTCCCGGCGAGCTCGAGCACCTGATGTCGAACAGGAGAAGACCCAACGAGTTAGCAAAAGAGAACAATGCACAGTTCTTTCTTTCAATCTACAAGATGCGAGCAATTGAACCCAGCAAATGCAAATCTAGAATACCCAAACATTTGTTCCCCGATAACCTCAAATCCGTATGGATTTTTTTCAAGCGAGGCAAACCTAATCGACGAACCAAACTGAAACAAATCTAACAACACCCGAAATAACATCGCCTAGATCGGACGAACAGAAAAAAATCCCCAAATCACACCGACGCATACCTCAGCGGCGAGGTACTCGAGGACGGCGGCGAGGTAGACGGGGGCCCCGGCGCCGACGCGCTCGGCGTACTTCCCGGCCTTGAGGAACCTCGCGATCCTGCCAACGGGGAACTGCAGCCCGGCCTTGGAGCTCCTCGACGTCGCCTTCTTCGCGGCCCCCGCGCCGATCGCCTTCCCACGTCCCGCCATATCACTCGCCGACGAGAGGAGAGGAGAGGCGCACGCGCTACACAAGGAAGAAGAAGAAGAAGCCGGCGGCGAGAAGGGGCAGCGGCAGCGGCGGCGGCGCTAGGTCAAGAGGCGGCGGCGGCGTGGATTCGCGTGGCGCGAGAAGACTAGGGAAGGGAAGAGCTGAGATGCTGGGATATATAGGGGTCGGGGGGGTTCGGGGCGGCAGCCAATGGGAGGCGATCACGCGGATCGCGGACGTGGACCGTCGGATGCGTTTGGACGGACGGCGGATGCGAGGGGGGTTTTCGATCCGGAAGCGGCGGGAGTAGGAGGAGGCGGTTTCGTTTGGATTTTTTTGGGAGCGCGCCAAGTGGAAATTGACCCCCGGATCGGTGACGTGGTTCTCTCTTGTGGGTCCCGGCGGTCAGTCTCTCTCTCGTGGTTTGAGTTCTTTGTTCCTCGTGGGTTGAACACGGGCTTGGGCCTCTTTTTTCTTCTTCGCGGGGTTGGTTACTTGGGCCTCGAGGTAATTTGGGGATAAGTCCAATTTACACCCCCGAACTTTTATGTTTGTCTAAATTACACCCCAAAACTATAAAACCGGGTATAATACACCCTCTAACTATCAATACCAGCTATTTCATCCCCTGGAGCGGTTTTAAAGACTGGTTTTGATTTAATTGGACGCCACGCCAGCATTGTCTCACCAAGTCAAAGCAACGCCAGCATGCATCTCACTGTGGAGATGGGCAACCGAGCAAGGAGGAGGCCAGGAGGGAGTGGCGACGAGGAAAACGAGCAGCGGAAGGTCGGAGGCAGCCGGCGTGCTCCCTCCCTCTGTCCCTGGCATCCTCCCTCCTCCACTCCCCACGAGCCCATCCATGGCGAGGTGCATGCAGCAGCGCGGGAGAAACTACGACGAGCGGCGGCGCGGCATCAGATAGGGCAGCGCGGGAGAAGCTGTGACGAGCACGAGACAAGCTGTTGGATCTTGAACTCGTGCTCGCCGGCGACGAATTCACCGGTGCTCGGGAGTGCGGCTACAGAGGGGGACCTGGGGGAGGGGGGAGGGGGGATCTGGAGGTCACCAGTTCTTGGAAGGGCGATGCAGAGGGGGAGATCAAGCTCACCGGCGCTCGGGGGTGCGGCAATAGAGGAGGAGCTCAAGCTCACCACCGGTCACTCGGGGACGAGAGAAAGGAAAGAAAGAGCTCACCGCCGGCTGCACTGTGTGGGGTAAGAGAGAAGGAGGAGAGGAAGAGAGGAGGAAGAAGAAGATGACGTGGAATTATTTGACAGGTGTCATCCTACGATACGTCCTCGTGTAGCAAAACCACGGTAAAACAGCTTGAGGGGATAAAATGTCCGGTATTGATAGTTAGGGGGTGTATTATATCCGGTTTTGTAGTTCGAGGGTTTATTTTAGACGAATATAAGAATTCGGGGGTGTAAAATGGACTTATCCCGTCTGCAAAGCTAGCCTATAAAACCGGGGGCTCCTAGCTAGCGCGTGCTCGGCTGCTCGCTGCTATCGAGCACTCCTCCCATATTAACTACCTCTATTAAAACTATTAGTTAATATACTTAACTACCTTTATTAGTATTTAGTAATGATAGTAATTAGGAAAGATTGTGGAGATTTTTTTACTAACAAATTGAAAAAATTTTAAGTTAAATTTGAAAACTTTCGATTTAAATTTTAAATTAGATTAAAAAACTTTCGATTTAAATTTTAAAGTCAAATTTTGAAAACTTTCAACTTAAATTTGAAAACTTTCAACTTAGATTCGAAAACTTTTAACTCGAGATTCGAAACTTTCAAGTCCAGATTTGAAAAATTTGAAAAGTTTCAATTTGAGATTTGAAAACTTTCAACTCGAGATTTGAAAACTTTCAACTCGAGATTAAAAAACTTTCAAGTCCATATTTGAAAATTTTGAAAACATTCAACTCGATATTTGAAAACTTTCAAGTCCAGATTTGAAAACTTTCAAGTTCAAATTTGAAAATTTTCAACTCAAAATTTAAAAACTTTCAAACTCAAAACATGCTAAAGATTACAAAAAATAATCAGAAAAAAGTGGAAAAAATGAAAAAAAATGGGTAAAGAAAAACGAAAAAAAACCGTGGGAGGGGGCGCGCACCGGCGCTGGGCCTTATGGCCCGGAAACGCGCGCCGATTAGCGATCGCGTATAAAAGCACAAAATAAATTGGATGTGAGTATTTATAAATTTTTGAATTCATAATATAATAACTATAATAGCAATAATAAAGTCAAAGTCATCTTTGAGAAGTGCTGGTTTCTCTAGAACTTATGAGGACGTGGATTTGTTTTCATGGATGAAGTTACGAGGTTTTTTACTTAGATATTCAACTTGTTTGTACATGATATCATTGTTCTGTTTTAAATTCATTATATAATGAATTTATAGTTTGAATACCTTATTAAAACAGTTTACCTGATGTGATTTATCCTCACACCCATATAATAGTTTTTTCAGGCGCCTGATGTAACATGCTCGCTTGTGCGATGAGAGTATCTACACTTCTACATGTCATGATCACACTAAATATATGGAGTACATGTTTATGATGGGGTTATAGTTGAGTTTGTTATCCTAGTGTATTAGTTTAACACTAGATATGTTCATCATTATTAAATGACTTGTTTGCCAAAGTTTTGGTTCTCCACTACGAATCATACGTTTCCGTTGCGGAAGTTACCAAAGAAGTTAGAGTCTCTTTCAACCATTTTTCTCCTTTTCGCTATCTTGCTTCTTCCCTTGCAGAGACAAAGTCGGGTCTTCACAAATTCCTCGTGGCATACCACAAGCTTGGGTGCTCGCCGATGACTCCTATCCATCTAGGAACCTATATCTCTAAGAGTAACAAACACGATCGAGTATTTACATGCTATGAACTCAATGGCTCAAACAATACAGTGAGGCTCGCTAGCTCTCAACCTTACAACCTCTCAATCCAACCCTTCTCTTTTCTTCTCATATCACTCTCACAAAGAGCTAACACTAAGATAAGGTATTTGGGAGGGCTACATGGCTTTGGATAGGTCTTCTCTTGCCTGCCCAAGAACAACAAGAACAACAGCGAAGGATTGAGGGGTGGAGGGGTTTAAATACTCGAACCCCAAAAATTAGTCATTAGGCTCATATATGCGAGCCAAGAACCTCCCCGCTCAAAAGTAAGGCATGCCAAGCGGGCCTTCTAGGAGTCTCCGGGTTGTCCTCCAGCTCGCCATACTTTTCCGGAGATCCCAATATCGACTCGGAACCTCCTAGTTGAGAAATAAAGCCCTATAAAAAGGTCATAACTACATCGACTCGGGTAACAATGATATGAATAAGCATTAATCCGAAGGTTCAAACATAGATCGGCTGGAGATCCGATGTCATAAAATATAAACGCTTAGATAAACAATGAAACCTTTGTTGCGATCGGCTAAAACCAACTTGTATGTAATCCTTATAAGCCAATGTAACATCCAGATAACTCATCGGCTGAAACCTCGATGAAACCCTTATTGGCAATCAAAAAGCAGGCTAGATGTTATGGTTCTAAGCATGACCAAGGCTGATGCAGCGCAAAGTATGAAAAAAAACATAATATCTAGACAATCAAGCCCTTGACTGATTTTCAGGGTGGTGGATACCTTAGCTAATCTAATCTGGTAAAGCAATTTAGCCGATACTAGCATAAACCCTAAAATGAATCTTAGCTGATACAAGTAAATTGAATTACCAAACAAGATTAACTAAGATATAAGATAGATAGGTGCTTACATTGACAAGATCAGAGTATCGAAGCCCTAGCCCCGCCGATGCAAACATCCTTGACAAGTATAAAATCGTCAAAAAATTATAAAGGTAAAATAGGGTGGTAATGTGCCGAATTTGTATTGATTGTGGAGATAAATTACAATACCCCCAGGTGTACATATTTATACCCATGGGTAGATACGAGTCCTTATTGGACAAGAAAGAAACTTTACTAAAGATAAAAGGAAAACATAAAGTCCTTATCGGACACTAAACACTCTTTCCTAAAGATAAAGAAAACTAACAAACTCTTTTTAATTAATAGATAAACTGTCATGTCGCATCCTCCTTGAACTCGGTCTCTTGTGTATAAACTTCCTTTAATTGATTAATTTCCTTAACCGAATATAGCAAAAATCCGACTATTGGCGACTTGATAATTCCCATCGGCCGATTCGAGTACTCTAAAACCGATATTAACTCTAAGCCGATGATGACTTCGGGGCTTACCAAATTTCACTGTTAACAAAAGGTTCCAGCGGCTACTCAAACCCCCTCTCCTCTCCTAGATCCGACAGTCGATGGATCTGGGGCTAGGCAGTGGATCCAAGGGCTCGGGGTGGTAGGGTTGCCACATGCGATGGAGGCGGGAAACTTGGTCACGGGAGGCGGGCGGTGGATCGGGGCGATGGCTCGGGGGGCACGGGCGGTGGAGCTCAGCCATGGGCGGCGGATTTGGAGATTTCTTTTGCTCAAAAATCATTTTTTTATGGTGGTCAACTTAACCTAGCCACTTGTGAAAATGAAAATCATTTTTCACAAGCGGTGTAGTTCCGCTTGTGAAGATGGCTGATTTTCACAGGCCTTTAGTTGCTGATGGTAGTGCCAACCGTTGTAGAAAACGTAAACTGGCCGCCAGGAAAAATCTATTTTGTAGTAGTGGAAAAATGGTGCGAAGATGGTGTGAACTTTACTAGGAAAGAGGTTAAAATTGTTAGATATTATGTTTATGTACTCAATACAACATCAAGTCATAATATAACTAGCAAACAATAGAACATATGGTTTGAGAACCTGATTTCCACTCTCGGATATAGGAATGAGTCAACGGACCGTCATAATAACTATGTGCTTAAATGCGTAACAATATGAATACACGATTTCCATAACATAATAACTTAGCAAGACTTAAAAGTGCAACATGACATTAACAAGTCCAAAACAAGCATCCAATCAGCATAAGATAACATACATCACATGATACTTATCATGTCCAAATATGATTTCCATAAAGTATTGTTGTTAATAAGTTACAAATGTAAAATAACAACACATAGGAAATGTTATTGGTCTGTGGCGACGACTACCACACTGGTATGAGTTGAGATGATGACAGTCTTAGATCAAAGAGTCTAGATTAAATGATGAATTGAGTTGTTCGATGTGCCGACTCATGTTGCATAGAACAAATAGAGTGGTTACATGAGCTGATAACTTTGGATAATTCAACGTTTAATCTATCGGTTAATCCACGTCTGCAAAATTTTATGGATACCACATCCTTATTTGTATTTGTAGGGTACTAAATGATAAGGTGAAGATAGAGAAATTACCACCTCTCATACAAGTGGCAACCCCCATAGGCGGATCTTGGGGTGGTCCCGATAGTTCTGGAACAAAAAAAAAATCCTAGTCCAATGCATATATATACACATATGTGAAAAAAATAACTTTTGAAAAAGAAAAAAAACTTGTTTTTAATATATTATGATGCAAATTTGATCCTTCATATTTAGGGTATTTAAAACAAATATATATGTTACCTATATAAAAAATTAGATACACCACTGGTAACCCCTACATAAACTCCAATAAAAATGTGATTTGAGAGTGTTAGAGTTGTTGGGAATTATGTGTTAGAGGTAATCTATAATATAATACATGTATACTCAGATCAAATTAGAGATAGTATCCACCTTTACTATTGGAATTGCTATTATGCATGTATACTCAGATCAGAGTAGCGACTGTTTGCCAGAGTGTCACTGAAGAAAAAGAAAGAACACCCACACTAAAGACAATGATATAATTCATCCTCCCCAAAGACAAACCGACGGCTTTTTTGCACGACGCATCAAACTGTGTCGACCGGAAGCGATCCATCATCCTGAATGAGAAAGGTGAACAATCTTACCGCTCACATTATTGCCTTTTGATTTTGTCGACGCAAACCTTTAAGTAACCCTGATAGTACTGAAACCAACCTCTGCATTTCCTACAAGATTTTCCTTCCACTGCAAGCACACTGACGCTAGCTTACCAGTACATTACATGCACATTGATATAATTTTACATGCTCTAATCACTAATAATTAGCATCTAATCGTTCCCATCACCTCACGCACATCAAGCAAAAATCACACCACCTACATTCGTCTTCATCCCATTTCTGCAGGAGAAATGGATGAGAAGCAACGAATCGATCAAGGGTGGCGGCCGCCCTCCTCCCGCTTGGCGGCGTTGGCGGAGGCGTAGTAGACGAGGCAGAAGAGGCCGTGGACGAAGCAGAGGATGCCGCCGATGGAGAGGAAGTGGTGGCGCGGGAGGCTGCACTTGGCCGCCTTCCTCTCGGCGTTCGGCAGCGCCCCCAGGATCAGCAGCGCCAACCCCACCACCAGCACGATCCTGATCGAATTCGAATCAAACACACACACAAAAACCACTCAAATCTCACCTCAAAATCCGTAAACAATTTGCTCCTGCACGAGCATGCGAGAATCTTGTACTAGGTGCATGCAGGAGAAAGAAGAAGAAGAAGAGAAAGAAGGTGGTGTACTGTACCACGAGATGACGAGGGCGAAGGACGCCATCTGCCGGTTGGGCGTGGCGCGGCGGTCGCGGGAGCACGCGCAGGAGCACCCGCCGACGACGTTGGCGATGGCGTGCGACGCCGCCAGAACGGCGGCCGCCGCGACGCCGAGCTCGTAGGCGCGCCGGACCGGCTGCCTGCACTCGATGAACAGTATCCTCAGCCGCCTCCCCTGCAAATTTAAACCTCTCGATGTGCCATAAACCCTAGTACTTTGGATCCTGCTTCTTGATGTGATGATGCACGAACTGAAGAACATCTTGACGTACGTACCTGGTGCTGGGCTTTCTCCGCGTGGATGCCGAGGACGCCGGCGACGACGTCCATGGCAATGATCAGGAGGCAGACCACCACGGCCTCCACTCTCGCCATGGCCGTTGATTCGTCGAGCAACTTCGCTTGCTTCGATCTCTTGGGACTTGGGGAGGAGGTGGCCTGTCACGGAGGTGCAAAGATGGGCGATGTCGGCACAGTTCACTGCTTTTCACCTTCATTTATTCGGCTATTTTGCTTTTGGGGGTGTTATCCCACCCCAAAATTTTACACTATGTCTAATCGAACGTTTGAATACTAGTATATTGTATGAAGTATTAAATATATATTAAAAATAACTAATTACATACTCCCTCCGTCCCAAAAAAAGGCAAACCGCAGGTTTGCGTGCCAACGTTTGACTGTCCGTCTTATATGAAATTTTTTTATAATTAGTATTTTCATTGTTGTTAGATGATAAAACATGATAAATACTTTATGTGTGACTTATTTTTTTAATTTTTTATAATTTTTTCAAATAAGACGGACGGTCAAACATTGGACACGGAAACCAGGGTTTGTCTTTTTTTTGGGACGGAAGGAGTAGATCGCTATTAATTTGTGAGACGGATCTTTTAAGCCTAATTGCTTCATGATTTAATAATGTGGTGCTGTAATAAATATTTACTAATAATGAATTAATTAGATTTAATAAATTCATATCGCGTTTTACTGACAGAGTTTGTATTTAATTTTTTTATTAGTATCAAACGTCTCATACAACACCCTATATCAAAACTCTACGATCCTGATTTAAACACCCTCTGTACGTCCTTGTTTTTTCTTCTTTTTCTTTACTGCACACCTCACGAGGACGACAGGAAAAGCTACCGATGCAGGCAGGCCTGTGGCTCTGTGCTTGATTGAGCTTATCAAGGAGAAAAAAAATGGTTTGTTTAAGTGGCAAGCGACAGATGCCATGGCTTGGCAACATCCAGCGCTTTGGCAAGCTTGCAAATCTTTTTATCTTCCTTTTTTCGCTTTGGAAGGCTTGAGCTTTACATGATTTACGCGCTAATTGCATTGAGGGTAACATTGCCGATATAAAGTCGCGAAATCTAATTTGGGTTAGGCCCCTTTGATACCTAGGATAACCTTTCTCTTTTTTTTTCCGCGGGTGCTTAGGAAAGAAAATGTAGAAAAGGAATCACATGACGACGCGAAATTAAGAAGAAATTTAGAGAAAGTTGGTAGTTTAAAAAAAACTTAAGAATTTATGTGAGTAGGAAAGTTTTAGTGTGATGTGATGGAAAGTTGGGAGTCTGAGGGAAGTTTGGTGTGAGAGAACATAGTAAGTTGACGTGTATGATTACATTAACCCATTTCACTTCCCTCTCTTACTACACCGGGTCACAAATAAATAATATTTTGGATACCAATAGAGTCATCAAGTTAGTACTATCAGAACCAAAATATAGCAACTCGTAAATTTAAACTGTATAAAAAAATAGCAATATAGTATTACTTTTAAATGTGACATTTTTTTACCACTAAATCAACCATACTACCACTTTGCTTTATTATAGGCGCAACTAGTTTAGGCCTAAACCTTACAAATAGGTTGAATGTTGTTTGGAAAGTTTTTGGATTCCGAATCTATTTTTAAGGCATAAAGCGCTGATCATTTTTTTTGAAACTTTTATAAAAATAACGAATTTATTTTTTTCAAAGAAACGAAAATGAATACGGAGATAAAATAGGCAAAATAGACTTATTCCTTACAGTAGGGCCTAACCATCACCAAAAGGCCTGAAGCCCGACGGCCAGGCCCACGACATAGAGATTTGGCCCGTACCGACCATTGGGCCGTGCCTGGGCCTTTTTCTCGGCATAATGTGCTGGCCCAGCACAGCCTAACCCAACGATCACGATCAGCGGGCCGTAGACTGTAAGCGGCCGGCCCAAATAGACGAGAGAGGCATAATATACTTATGGAAAAAGTCCACATTAACTCCCTTAATTGTACGCCGATTCTAATTCGTACCCCTCAACCAGAAAACCGGATAGAACGACTCCTCGAACTATTGAAACCGGTGCAATTTGACTCCCTCAGCGGTATTGGAGGGCGTTTTTGCTGACGTGGCGCTGTTGACCCGGTCTTCGTCCCACGTGGCGCTTAAGTGGCATTAGAATTAAAAATTTTTGTGGGACCCATCTGTCATTCACAAAAAAAATATATATTGTGGGGCCCACATGTCATCCTCTCTCTCCAACCTTTCTTCCTCTTCCCTTCCTCTCTCTCTCCCCTTTCTCTCCCCCTTCCCCATCTGCGGCCGAGGAGGCCGGAGACGAGAGCGGTGGCGGCGGGCGGGCGAGGGCGTAGACAATGAGGAAGGCAGATAGGAGGTTGGCGGCGACGCCCGCGGAGACGACGAGGAGGCGATCGGGGACGGGGTGGTTGCGAAGGAGGTCCAGGTTGTCGGGCGCGAAGCCGGAGTTCGGGTCGTCATCGGGGAGGTGGCGGCAAGGAAATGGCCCGACTCGTGACGAGGACAATGGTGGCGAGGACGGAGGCGGTGGAGGCGACGAACTCGACGCTAGCGAGGAGGTCGGACGGGGCGGCGGAGATGGAGATGGGCCTGGAGGAGGAGGAGGAGGGGTGGCAGTGGCGGTGGAGAGGGAGGTGTTGCCCGCGCCGCTCGCCGCTATCTCCGCTTCCCCGACATGTCGTCCCCACCGCCACAGCGGCCGGCAGCTACGGCCGCGCCCCACGCCTGCGCCGGCCGCCGCCAACTCCCCCAGCCGCTCCCTTGTGCCTTCCTCGCTGCCGCGGCCTCCTCGCCCCACCGCGTCCCCGCGTCCCCGACATGTCGTCCCCACTGTCGATGCGGCCGGCAGCTACGGCCGTCCCTCCCCCCGGCACGCGACATCCCTGCCCGCGCCGACAGACGCCGCCTTCCCCCAGCCGCTCCCTCGTGCCTTCCTCGCCGCCACGGCCTCCTCGCCCCACCGCGCCCCCGCGTCCCCGATGCCGGCACCACCGTCCCCGCCCTTCACCGGCACTACCGTCCGATGGGGAAGAGAAAAAGGGAGAGAAAAGATAGAGAAGGGAGAGAAAGGGAGGAGGAAGAAGGGTTGAAGAGAAAGGATGATACGTGGGCCCCACAATATATTGTGTGTGTGAATGACAGATGGGTCCCACATATATTTTTTTAATTGTAATGCTACTTAAGCGCCACGTGGGACAAAGACTGGGTCAGCGCTGCCACGTCAGTAAAACCGCCCTCCAAAACCGCTGGAGGAGTCAAATTGCACTTGTTTCAATAGTTCGGGGAGTCGTCATATCCGGTTTTTTGGTTGAGGGGTACGAATTAGATTCGGCGCACAATTAAGGGAGTCAAAGTGGACTGTTCCTATACTTATTCCATCCATTAAGGCCCACTCTAAAGAGGTGAGAGAGGTAATATAGACTTATTAGCCACGTAGGCACGACACAAGAAAGCGAGGACAAAAAATGGACTTATTCCCAGGACGAGCATGGTGGGCCTGTCGCCGGCCCCAGTGTTATTGGACTCTGTATGGGCCGTAGGTGCAGCCCGTGGGCTGACACGGCACGGCTCGGCGTGTCGGTCGGCCCGACTGATATCTTGCCTTGGTCGTGCCCAGACCGGGCCGTGTATAGCGGCCCATTTGATCATCTGTAGCCTGAAGCCCACATTGCCACGGCCCAATAAATCGCGCGATGACGACTCGACCACCGGAAACCCCCTCTCCGCATCCCACAGCCACAAGCGGCGCCGCACCACTTCGTCCTCAACCAAAACCTCCGCCGCCGCCGCCGCCGGAGAAGGAGGAGGAGGAGGAGTAGGGAGAGTAAGCGGGGAGAGGAAGATGTCGTTCCGTGCGCGGGAGATGTACAAGAAGGTGGTGCGGCGCGTGGGCGGCGAGGGGAAGCTGCCGGCGGAGCTGATGGCGTCGGTGAAGAACTTGCTGCCTGACAGCAAGGTCGTCATGGGGAGGGCCAAGCGCGGCATCTACGCCGGACGCCACATCCAGTTCGGCAACAAGGTCTCCGAGGACGGTGGCAACAAGTAAGCCATCTCGCCCGTGCAAATCTTCACTACTCTACTCGTCGTCGGATCTATGCGCGTAGATACTGTAGGGTTGAGTTCGTGGGGTGGAATAAAGCTGTGTGATGCAACGAGGTATTCCGAATCCAGATTTGGTTGGTTTGGATTGGAGAGAACACGATTGCGAGGACAGTGGTTGAGGGTAGTGGTCAGGAGAGAAAACTGCCCTTTGCACTGTATTGGTTTGATTGCATGTCTAATTGATTTGCTCCTAGTTACTGACTTAGAAATGGATGTGTTGAGGATTAAATTGGGTTTCATCCTCCATTCTGGTTTACCTTAGTAGTTTTTACCAAGATTGATAGAGTTATTCATGTTTGAAATGTTCAAACCTACACAATTTGCTAGTTATTTTTTAATGATGTGCAAATTGTTAGATTACCAAAATAGAATAGGTAGCTTGTTTGCACTCTTTTTTGCTAGTGTAAATGCTTGACTAGTATGTTGCTTACTTGCTTCATCCATTCACTATTGTACAATTTGGTTCTTTGATCATAATATTTGAAACTTCAACTATCAGTTTCTTTTGGAACGAGGGAAATGATAATCCACACAATCTTGTTAAATCCCACTGTTCACTTCCTGAACTGCCACCACCATGGCAAACTGTCAGAATGGTTTCATGAGTCATGATCAACATGTGTAACCTCAAGACATGCAAAGCTGCTTACTTAACGATTCCTCTAGGCTTGCAAGTTGCATCCTTTGATCAATGTAGCACATCTTTAAGTATCTGGAGCTGCATTCTGGATCTCTTTAAGAAGAAATGATTTTTTTTTCTTACTACTGTAAATGTGTAATTGTGCATTTGGCACACTTAAAAATCTCCTTGAAATTTGTGTATTCAAGATACTTCCTTTTAAATTTCCATAGTTCATGAGCCTTTCATTAAAAAAATATTGCTCTTGATTTCCCCCTAAACGTATTTGTGTCCGTGGTAGTTTTTGAGCAATGTCTTATTTTGTTCAGGTCAAGGCGAACATGGAAGCCAAATGTTCAGGAGAAGCGTCTTTTTAGCTATATTCACGACCGGCACATTAGGGTCAAGGTAACCACCCATGCTCTTCGGTGCATTGACAAAGCTGGTGGGATAGACGAATACCTCCTGAAGACACCTTACAACAAAATGGATACTGAGATGGGGGTAGCCTGGAAGGCAAAGATTGAGAAGATGTATTCACAGCTAGCTCAAATGGAGGTAGGCTTCTTCTCTCCTGAGGAAGAGACTAAGATCGAACAGGGTTTTGAGGAGGCTCGAGCTGCCAAGAGAGAGCACCGCAGGGAAGCAAGAAGAGCTTTGGCTAAGCAGACTCAGCTAGAAGCTGGTAACGCTGGTGGTGACAAAACAGCTGAAGCTGCTTCTAATGTTGCAGTGAAGTCCTAGCTTGGACCTATCTGCTCGTCATGATTGGTAAAATGTGATCATATATCCTCATTTTCATGAATCGGCATCACCTGTGTGCTATATGTTGAAAGTCTATTTATATGGCAATGCCACTTTTTAATAAATCAACTTCTTTTGGAACCTTGGTGATAATTGCTACCGCAAAGTTCTACTTTTTACGCCTGATGATTTAAAATGCGATGTGTGGATATGGTAATTTATCTTTAGTTTACATCATTGCTGATCAATGTGAAACCTCTTTATGACTCCATAGTCCATATTAGTAAAAACCACAGTATCATTTTCGGCATCATCCTCATCAAAGGTGTTACCTTTCTTTGTGATATCAAATCAGTGAAGGATAAAAGTTTGTCTGCACAACAACTTCCCTTGCTAAATACCATATACTTTTTTTGCATTTTGGATTGTACTATTACCTGAATATACTCCCTCTGTCCAGTATTTGTTGTCATGGAGAACAATAAAACTACTCTCTGTTGATAAATACAAGTCATGGTGTCTCCAACATTAAACTTTAACCATTATTTTCTTTTGAAATGTATTGTCAACAACTGTACAACTTGTATGCCAATGAACATATACACCCTCCATTCCTAAATACTTGTCACTGAATACTATTTTAGCAACAAACTTGTATATATTAAAAAACATACTATGCTATTGAAAAATATGTTTCATGCTAAACATAACAATTCAATTTTCGTCCATAAAAATATGATAATTTAGAAGCTATCAATGGTCAAAGATGAAACAGCACTAGTCCATATGTCAGGTAAAAGCACACTAGTCAATGGTCAAAGATGAAGCAGCATGTTACTAGGCCAATTTTTAGTCCAAAATCACAGAGTTTGCACATTTTGAGTTCATGCTTGTCTTATATTAATCAATAGGGGATAAAATTAGATTTCAAACCCACTGTATGCATGCAGGGGGCCTTTTGTACTCCAAATAACTCGACATACTCCTCTTGCAGGTCAAAAGGAGAATCATTGAGTGCCACTGACCAAATAATGGAGGATTTTCGTTTCATATAAAGCAGGGATCATATGCTGAGTCAGTAACCCCTGTTTACTGGCAGCAGCAGCAGTGTATGGTAAGCTGGAGTCTAATACTATCAGCATGTGGGTGTTGTAAGCAGTTGCTGAACAAAATCAGTTAGGTGGAAATTTTGTACACTTACTGAATACTCGTGTCAGAGTTCAGATAACTTTCTTGTAGAATTTTGTATCTTCTACTACTGCCCATTCAACTTAAACGTCGAAATAATCTATGCTTGCCAGGATACGTGGTAATGTGCTACGGAGCTATGCCGTTTTTATGCTGATTTCTGTTTCGCTGCTATATTTTGTTACCAATTCAGGCTACAATTCTTACAACCAAGAAGAATGCTTGACAAGTTACAGATGGCAACACCCCAATTAAATTGTTAGTTTGGACCAGCGATGTGCATATGCAAGCGAATGCTGCTGGGCTAGCATCGCCCCGATGAAATTGTTTCTTTGGTTTGACAGTTTTTCCTTCTCTAAACTTGTGATGTGAAATGATGCTTCTGAATATGAATGAATTATGCGATGATTTTGTTCAGAACTTTTGGATTTCTCCCTTGTTTTCTGATAATCGCGCCTGCTTGGAGATTTAGCCGTCAACAACAACTCAAGATTGAATCATACGTAAGTGCTTGCTGATACAATATCAACATGGAGGGTACATTGCCGGTTCCATATGAACAAACATAAAAACACCGAAACCCCATATGGCCATTATGCCGATCCTAGCCTAGCTTGGCGAGGACATCGCCAAGAGCAGATTTGGTCAACGTGTAGTACTTCTCCGCCTCTTCGGGGCTCTTGATCTTGGCTGCATGGTCAAGCTGCACAAATCACAAAGGGGGATTCTTGTCAACAACTCAGCTGAGCAACAGTAATACTTTTTCCGTTTCATTTCATATTATAAATTGTTTGTCTATTTTCTTAATCAAAGTTTTTAGCTTTGACTAAGTTTATAGAAAAAAATAGTAACATATGGGATATAAATTAATTTTATTAAATTTAACATTGAATATATTTTAATAATATGTTTATTTTGTATTGAAAATATTAGTATATTTTTAAAAAAACTTGATAAAACTTGAAGAAGTTTGACGAAGAAAAAAAATCAAACGATTTATAATATAAAATGAAATAGAGGGAATAATAAATTTTAAGAGAAGACTCTGTAGTGAAGTGAAGCTAAATTAGTTTTTTTTTGAAACTAAGTGAAGCTAAATTTAGTTACCCCGTCAATGGTGGCGAAGAGCTTGCCGGTGAGGTCCTTGAGGCCCTTCTTCTCGTCCTTGGGCTTGGAGTTGATGACGGTTTTGAGGTCGTAGCGCAGGTAGGAGGCCCTGAGGCGGAGGTCGTCCCTGACGAACGGCCACTGCTTCTTCTCGATGAGCGGCTTGAGGTTGATGATGTCCTGGGCCGACTCCTTCGCCCTCGCCGCCGCCTCCGCCGGCGGCAGCGGCTGCAGGTAGAACCTTTCCCTCAGCGGCAGGTCCGTGTCCCTCGCCTGGTCCGAGTTCAGCGTCCCAGCTATCACCACACAAATCAAATCAAATTTGTAAGTTTCAGTGAGATATTCGTGCGAAATTTGTCAAACTTAATTAACGGAGAAATTCTACGGTTCTTCAAAATATATCATGACACACTAAAAATTTAATATAAAATTTAATACTTTATAGTATCTCGATACCAAATTTACAATAATACCTCATGACTCTTTCAAAATTGCTCAAGTTAATAATACTACACTTACGGAGTCCACCGGAGGGCGGTGGCGGGGGGCCGAGCTTGATGGGCTTGGCGGCCTCGGCGAGCGCCGCCTGCGCGAGGGCGCCGCCGGCGATCCCGGTGGCGACGAGGCCGAGCACGGCGCGGCGGCCGGTCTGGACGTCGGCGGCGGCGGCGTCGGCCCTGACGACGGCGAGCCTGGACCTGCCGCCGGCGCGCCTGGGCCCGGCCGGCAGCTGCACGCCCTGCGACAGCCCGGTCATGGACGCCATTGCCTGTGCCATCTCTCAACCTCAGCTCAGACCTCACCTGACTATAAGCTGAGAATTTCTCTCTTCAGATGAAAGAAGCAAAGTCTCGAGCGCGTGGCGGAAAAAAATATATTGAGGAGGACGTGTTGGTGTGCAACCTTATCTGACTGGATAAGTTGGGGGCCAGTGGGGAAGCGCCACGTGGACCGGCGAGCCGCGCGATGGCCTCCGTCCGGATTGCGCCACGGCCAATGGGGAGGCGACGCGTGTCCGGGAGCGCTCGTGTCCTCCACTCTCCTTTGGCCTCCGTTGATTTCGATCGGCGGCCGCCGCGTTGGCGTGGCAGTTGGCACCGTGGCGGCAGCGGTAACTCTTCGGATGATCGTGTGGCTTTATCCGATATATTGCTTTCGTTCGCACATGGAGGTTCGCCCCGGTTGACGGGTATTTTTTAGTTTTTTTTATTTTTATTAATATAACTTTTCAAAAAAATACTTTTAAAAACTGAACCTTTTGTTCACGCTAGTTTGGCAACGCCAGTCACGGTGACGTACCTTGGTGTGGCGTGACAGAGTTATTTGGCCACGCCAGACGGGCTGGTGGCCAAAAGATTTAGATTTAAAAATATTTTCTTGGAAATGTTTACTAATAAAACTTTTAAAAAATAAAAGGTCTAAATAATAATAATATTAATAAGTTCTCTGACGGCGCCTCTACACTTGGATATGTATTGGGAGCATTTTTTTTTACAAAATTTGCTATATAACATTAAAGAAAATGTACGTAAATAGATAATGGATACCGTAAGATCGTAAAAATTCTCTCTTCTCAGCTAGGTGTATATATTATTTTAATCTCCATAGTGTCCACTATTAAATTACATGTGTTTTGAAGTGTCTTTCAACCGTTTCACGATCTTGCGATGCAGCTCAGCTAATTACACGTTTTTTCAATGTTCTATAGTAAATTTTGCCTTTTTTTTTCTAATAAGAGTAATGGAAATATAGTGACTGGACACAACTATACTAGGTAAATATATATCACTAGAAATAGCAATTAGCGATCTTGTGCTAAGGTAAATATTTTGGGCAGCAGTGCGCTCGATCACGTGTGATGCCCCTACGCCTCCCCTAAAGCCATAGAGTATGTTTGAGAAAGCTTATGATTCTGAAAAAAGCTGCAGCTATCAGAAGCTCCTCAAATAGATTCATAATCCATATTAGCTGTACCTCTACTAGGATGGGCTATTCTCATGTGTGAGCGAATGAGCTTAGGAATTTGTTTCCAATTTCTTTTTAATAGATTTGAAAGTTCTTCGAAAGAAAATTGTGAAAAATGTTAGTTTAACGAAACATTTCACTACATAATATTTTTGTAGATAAATATTCTTTTTAAGTTTCTAGTGAATTTATCAATAATTTCTATTGAAAGAACTAGCTGCATGCTGTGAAGGATTGTCACTGGCAGCTCGTTGGGTTCAGGGACTAATAATAGTTGAATACTTGAATCAGATAGCTTGTTGTGCAAGCTTTGAAGTCAATGGCTGGAATGCACAAGACCTAGTGACAGTATTGGGCGATATCGACTTTGTCAATATTGAGGGGGAGCTAAATAGAGTAGCACATAAACTAGCTAATTTTGCTAAGAGTGATTTAGGTACAGCGGTTTGGTTGGGTAATATTCCACCGGTTATTGCATCTTTAGTTATTGGTGAATGTAATTAGGCATCCTTAGTTGAGTAATAAAGATGTCCCTTTCTTCAGAAAAAAAAAACAGAAGAAAATGTAGCCTGCCCTCATGTACCGGTAGATATGCAAAAAAAAATATATGGAGTATAGTAATAGGAGTGTGTATGTTTATATGGTCATTATCGCAAGGCTAGCTTAATTGTATTATTTTCAATTACATGATTATTAGTAAGTGTTAACTACTTTCTCCGTCTCATATTAAGTTCATTTTAGCTCATTTCATTTGTCCCAAAATAAGTCTATTTTTAAGTAATTATTACATCGGAGTTTGTAAAAGTAGAGAATAATTGTATTGCGAGTAGATAAAGTGAGAAATAGTTGCATTGGATTTAATAAATTAGGGGTATATTATTTTTTTTATTGGTATGTGTGGGATGGGTGCAAAGTTAACTTATTTTAGGACACAAGTAGTAGAACTAGTATATAAATCTACAACGGTCTGATTTTACACTAAGAAGCGCGCTACATTACAAGAAACAAAAATCACAAGTAGTACGTACTTAATCGAAATTCTATGCGAGAAGTTATCTTATATTACTGAAAGAAATTTATAGCTAACAATTCACAGTCGTGGGAATATACGAACATTTCAATATACTATCAAAAATATAAACGTCCACGTCCTAAATATCATGATTCTTAAACAAGCACAGCAAAATGAATGTGACTATCCGTAGCTAGAGTTTTATATGAAATCGAAATATACAACATACTCCTATATTCCCAGAAAAGATATGATGAAGTGCAAGTTTATTACATTGGTAGTTCGGCCAAAATTTAATACTTGCATCTAAAACAAAATAAGCTAGCTGAACAAAAGCAACTATAAGCTAATCAAGTAGCCTTGACAACGGCGACATGACCCAATTCAACTTGTCGAAACATGAATTCGGCAATAATAAAAGGGGGTAGCGTACGAGACCTAAAGTGGATGGATGCAGAGACAAAGGATTTAGACAGGTTCAGGCCCTCTCAATGAGAGGTAATACCCTACTCCTGTTTGGGGATTTGAATCCGCCGGGTGTAGTATAGATCTGACGATCAGGTTGTGTCATGCCCCCTAGAGGGCCTCCTGCCCACCTTATATAGGGTGGGGGGCAGGATTACAAGATAGAAACCTTAACCAATACGGTATCGGTTTCCTAAATCTACTTTACAATATTATCAAATCAGGACTTTAGGCTGTTCCGTAATATATAAGGAAACGTAATACCCAAGTCATGATCTTATACATATTCCATATATATAAGTTATCCCCTATAACTAGTCGGATAACCATGCCGTGTGGGTATGGGGTACCCATAATCTCCACAGTAGCCCCTGAGACCTTCACAGTCGAAAAGATAATCTTCTCTCGAACCAGATTACTCCAAAGCCGAGTACTTCAATCATCTTTGCCATGGTCTCCCGAGTACTTTTACCAAATCTGAAGACTGTGGAGGGCTGAAAAATAAAGTCAGGTGCATCGACTAGATGCACCTAATAGGTGTAGCCCTCGACTATGCGGTTAAGTGAACAAACCAAGCATATAGTCAAGGAATAAATAATCCAACCAACCGAGTGGCTTCAATAATTATAGTTAACCAAGCGACTTGATATTAATATGTAGCATATGCGGTGTAAATCCCTGAATAACATGATCCGAGTGATATACCGACTGCTTTGTAAAATATGATGAGTGTAACCTAAAGTTGGCTACATTATTGAAAATTCACATAGCAAAACAGCTATAAAAAAGCTTGTATGTTGTGAATAAAGAAATTTCCAAAGTATTGGGCATACGCCATGCGCACACTGCTTTAACAGATGTGCTTAAGTCCCTAGAAGACACATGGTTCCACCACACCTGGAAATATATGGCATATGTGGTATAAAATCCGAGTAAATAAACTCATAAAGGATTTACCAACCGCCTGAAAAATGACCACAATATATAATCAGCCTAAGCCATAATATTGGTCAATAAAAATGCACACTTACGTGGCAAAAAGCAACGATATTGTATCCAATCAATTGCTTAAAAACCCAAACAGCACCATGACTATATTAAAAAGTCAGCGGGGCAGCTATATAAAGCTTTACTGTTTGACACCTTTTAAGATGCATTGTACCAACTCCTAAAAAGTTGAGTAACTGCGGTATAAAAGGATTTTAAGGTATTGGGCACTTGATCACGCGCACTTTGGCCTAAGCAAAAAGTGCCTAAGTCCCTAAAAGAACGTGACAGGCCACACCTGAAAATATGGGCTGCAGACATATTAGGCCTAGGCCAAAAAATATGCCTTCGATACCCTTTGAAGGATGACGCATGTAACATGCTCCCGGGTGATATAGACCATGTGATCTGAGTGATTATCCCTTATGGGATACTCCAAAATAGATATAAAAATTGAATCCCGACTGGCGCAAGTATTCGGTTGATATAAATTCATGTTGCATGTATCCGGAACAAGTCCAAATTGGAGACATAATACTTGTGTTTGAACTAGTAAGCCTCTGAGCATATAGCTTGTCCTTCTGTCGTAGTCACAATTGTCTATTGATGGTAGCTGACGCAGTTGGCATAGAGACAAGACGACCAATATAGAGATAATATTGCCCAGCAGAGGTGACAAAAATATTGATGGTAGTGAAGATAGTGATACCAATCAAAATTACTGAAGTCGCATAGCCATGGAGGCGAAGAAACCAGTCAGCGACAGACAGATCAACTAACAATGAAGATCAAAGGCGGTGACGAAATCCATCAATCATGAAGATGAAGAAAATAGTTGACGATGACAAACGCAACCGACATGATGAAGATAACGATGTCGGTGATCCAGTCAATAGCAGTGTAGCAACCAATGATAATGACAAAGACGCTCATCAGCATTTGCATAGTAGGTCAACCGTGAAGGTGAAATAATAAGTCGGTGAAGACATAATCATCCATTAGCAACAGCGGAGATGTCAGGGCCGATGAAGCAAAGGTGCTGGTGATGATGTCAGTGACAATAATCCTTCAAATTAATGTTATAGCTGTTGTAGATGCTTCACTTGGAGGAGAGTTGATGCTGTTGTCCAACTCGTCTAAACCGAAATATTTGATGTTGTTGAAGTAGATTGTCTGCTCCGAAGTAAAGATGAAGATAATGACTCCTGGAGTTGACTCGTTGGCTGATTAATTGATTGCTCCATCTTTGACATAAAGCTTGTCGAATTTTGAGCCATGTATTTGTGTAGCCCCCGACTCTTTGTTTAGTTGGGAAACAACTGAACATAGAGTCGAGAATTATAGCTTCTTATCGTCGAGTAGTCATTGCTTGATTGAAAATAAGTGTTGAAGATGTCCAAGTAGAAATCCATGATGACAAAGT